CTCATCAGACTTCTAATTAATTCCCAAACTCATGAGACTGGGAGCGCCTCAAGAGGAGCAGTCTACGCACCACCTGCAGCTCAGTAGTGTGGCCCTGCCTGCGCTTATCCCCACACCATGTCCTTGGCAGCACTGGAGAAGACTTGCTGAAACGTGAACTGAAGTGTCATGCTGGGTTATGAAATCTGGACAGAAAAGAACACACATTGCAAAAGTATAGCTTCTCTCTCTCTCTCTCATAGAAATTTCCCAATTCTCAGAACGGCTCGTATTGTTTTGTCCTGGCCAGTTTCTCGAAGCAATTGTAACCCCTGTGACTGCAGAGGAAAAACAACAAAGGGAAAGGGCCTTACCATACTGACACTGGGGCCCATAGTACCCCGCAGCACAGTTACAGGTGTAATTGTTGATGGTTTCCACACATTCCCCATGACCACTACATGATGAGGCCTGGCAAGAAGCTGTAACGAAATCAGAGGGGGGAAATATTTTTAATGTGTTGTATTTTAGTACTCAGTCATTTCTTTAGACATAGGTAACTTTTGTCTGAGACTAGTTTAACAAAGAGTATGGTTTCTTTTTGCATTCATACCATTTTATAGAAAAGTCATATGCTATGATTTTTAGTTATGTAGTATATTCGCCCTAGTATAAAGCCGCAATCATTAGTTTGCACTAAGAATGAACTTACCAATAGTAATACTCTGTTACATAGAAAGGAAACAGTGGTATTCATGGAAACTCTTAGAACTACATTTTAAATTTTAACTTATGACTTTATTTTAACTTACAACTACTTTTGTAAGTTAAATAATGCCTTGATTCTGATCATTTCTGCAGTGTGTCTATCCATCCCTTGCTTTGTTTGTGTTTTTTTTTTTAAGTGAAATTTAAATTCTTTTAAAGTCCAAACTTACTAAAATTATCAGGGAGTCCAATTTGCAAAAGACCAAGTTCCTGTGTTTCCTGGTTGAAATCTGCTTGGTAAATTCTGACTGTTTTGGAACAGCTTTAGTGGTTTCTACAGAAATGTTCATGCACCAAGGATAGTGCAGTGTCTCGTCATGGAGAATTACATAGGAACATGAAGGATCTGTATATGGAGAATGACACGACGGCCCCTAACAATCAACTGCCCCATAGGGCTTCCAAGCTGTACTTTTCACAGGAGCAGATTGTCACGTTTCCCCCCAAGGAGAGGCTGGTGGCTTCGAGACGTTGGCAGCTGATTGCTTTAACCGCTGCACCACCAGCACTCCTCGGTAGCACCTAGCCCCATATGTTGCAATGAGGAAACCACTGCTGGGCGTCGAAGTTATCATTTTGCTTATCTCCATGCTTCCACTCCCCTGCCTCGATACCAAGAACCCCAGATACCTAGCTCTTCCTTCTTACCTTCAACATTTACATAGCATTTTTATGTCACATCACTTGGGGGAATCATTTTGGGGTGTAAAGGTCAGCCTCAAACACTGAAAATCCTCACAAGTGACATGATTCAGGCTTGGAGGATAAGATTTTTTGGAGGAGCCAACAACTTGCTCTATTCCCTAACATTTCCACAAGGTTTGTCCAATCATTCCCATCACTCGCTGCGTTGGAGCAGGGGTGTGTGTGTGCGTGTGTCCAGTCTGGTCGCTCCCTACCTGTGTAGCAGAGGGCTATCTTCGGCTTGTTGCACGAGTCATCATTCCACTTTCCTGTGTCTGTGGACCTCTTTATATAGATCTCCACACAGTCCTCTTTGCTCTTCTTATTGTTGGGCTCCCCTTGCCCCCAGTTCTCGGCTTCTTTAGTGAGAGACTTGTTGGTTCCCACCCAAGTCCAAACCCCTGCTACCTTCCGGATTCCAATCCAGTAGTAAGTACGCTTAGCAGGAAGTGTATTTTCCAGGTACTCGATTTCCCGCTTGTTCTGTATGGCAACTAAATCCGTGTAACTTTCTTGGCAAAACGCTCTAGCCTTTACCCAGTTCATGGGCTTTTCTGAATGATGGTAAGTCCAGCCGTCAGTTCCACGATAAGCCATGAAGTCTGGAAGACAAGGGGAACAACATAGACGTATGTCATGTTACAGCTGGACAGACCGAAGAGCTCATTCACTGGGAGCCGAAGGACCCAAGACCCACAGCTGTGCTCACCCTCTCTGGGCTGCCGAAGAGTTGACTGCAGATCTGAAGGAGAACTGAGGCTTTTGGGGTTTTCGCCTTAATAAAGTGCTCCTATTTCTAACTCGGTTTTAGACAAATTTGGTGACATTCACAGATTTGTTTTTATAAAAAGATTTTTTCCCTTCAAAATTCTGTCAAGTGAAATTTAATCTAAGGGATTTGGAAGCTTGCATTTCATTGACCTAGTGGCTATCCGTCATTTAAAATGAATCTAAGTTTAAAATCATATACGAGCAAAAACAAAAACACAACGCCCCCTGCCGTTGTGTCTCTTCTGATTTATAGCAACCCTGTAAGACACAGTAGAACTGCCCCCATAGAATTTCCAAGGCTCTGCCTCTTTCCAAAAGCAGACAGCCTCAACTTTCGCCCACAGAGTGACCGGTGGGTTCGAACTGCTGATCTTTCATGAAACTGAGTGCTTAACTATGATGCCTCCCAGGCTCCTAAGTGATTATATAGGAGCTTCCAGTATGAGGGCTTAGAGGAAAACTGACAAACACAACTACTCAATGACTCCACCGGTGATATATACCATCCTAAGCATGTGAAACACTCTTACATACAGGAAGATGAAAGTTTTCACAGGCATCGGCATGTGCTGCATTTCCACAATGTGTAGGGCAAGTACCAAAGAGAAATACCAAGGAAAACATACACCAATTCTTATGCTTTCCCAAAAAAGTATGAGAAGGGAATAACAGAGACAAAAAAGATACAATTCATCTTGATCAAAATAAAGAGATCAGCCATGAATAGTGAGGTGGTAACCAGGGATGATTCATGGATAAAGAACATCATAAAATAAATATTTTGAACAGCATTTAAAGGAAATTTCCCGCTAGAGTGAAGTTCCAAAGGAGAAGTAACTTCTTTGCTCACAGAGGTATCTTCAGCACCTAGAACAGTGTTTGCTGTATGGAGCCAGTAGGTCGACATCCCTGGAATAAGAATGCCAGGCTCCACAGGGGGCACAGGCAGGCGGGATACAAGAATGTGTTTGTTTGGAAGGGGGCAGAGTAGGCATGTCTCCTAACTCAGCATTCAGAAGCACAGATAGGGAGTAGGAAGGCAGAAGCTTCGTTAGGAAATGGGAAAGAGTTTTTAAAGAGTAATTAAAGACTTTTCAAGAGCCAGACACCCTCCTCCCGCCACCAACAGTCACATCAATAAGAGAAGGCTGAAAAATAAAATAACGAGCAAGAGATACATCATGGCTCCTGCCCTCAAGAAGTTCACAGTTTAACTGTAAAACTGACAGTGGTGTAGAATGAACCATTTGCTAACAAAAAATCGAAAGTAGAATGCTAAATACTTAGTACGGATTTTAAGTGTCTTACTAGCTCTCTCTTCATTGACTGCATTCCTTCATAATTAAAGACGTTTGCAGAATGACTAGGATTTGACCCCTGCAGCAAGAGGCCTGGACAAGGGAAGATGGAATGCCAACTCCTGGTGACCCCATGTGCTGAGAGAACAACACCATGGGATTTGAAGGCTGTACGCCTTTAGAAGCAGGTTGCCAAACCTGTCTTCTGAGCTACCTCTGACTGGGTTCAAACTGCCAGCTCTTCAGAGAGTTCTCAAGTGTACCACCTAGGGACTCCTAGGATAAGGTTAGGATTCTGGGAAAGTGCTAAGCTAAGAGGGAGGAAACAGACCGTCATTCAAAGGGTAGAACTCATAGCTGTCGACCTAATAATTTCCCCCCAAGACTATGTACATCTAGTAGTATTTAAGATAAACAAGCCCAAGTAAAAAGTGTTTAAAACACACAAATGCCACAACATACCATAGCAGAGAAGTGTCCAGACCCACAATCTGAAGATGTCCCACCAGGCCCTCTGAGGGTTCTGACATTTCCATGGGAATATCTGCAAATAAAGCACAAAATTATATTAAAATTGATACTCTGAAACCATAAGTTTCCAGCTCTTGAAGGGGCACCTCAACTGTCTTAAAATGCAAAACAGAATGTGTGCATCTACTAAGCATATCTGCGGTAGTTGCAAAACAGAACATGTATATCTACTAAGCATATCTGCGGCAGTTCCTCGGACTTGTGGAAAAGTAGCATGGGAACTTTCCCTCGGAACAGACTCATCTTTTTCATGTTGACAATAATTTTCCCACTACCCAATAGGTGTCAGTAATTTTTGTACCTATTTTCCTCCTTAGCTGTTACATGACACTAGTTGATATTTAGTATGTATCTTTTTAAAGTGCTTTCTGGTAAGTAATGACCTAACGATGTTGCGATTTGATGTTGTAACTTTACTCTTAATTATGACTCAAATACCTAAAGGAATTAGGTAACCCAACAGAAAAAAAACACAACTAGTTCATTTTTTTCCCAAATAAAAGAAATGCATTTTTTAGCAACTCAACTAACAAGATCACACATTGCTTGCACACCTTCTGAATCATGTAATTTCTCACGTAACCAGTGTTTAGATACAACAATGCTAACTTCAACAAGACAGCACCTCTTCAAGAATCTCAGCAGAGACAAAGCCAAGGAGAGAAAAAACAGCATAGCATCCCTAAGAGGCAAAATCTAGGATCACAAAGCACGTTGTAAGTTTTTCTGTTGTTTGTTTGCTTTTTATCAAAAGTTAGACAAGTTGCTTCTTGCCCTTTGCCACCTGCCTCTACAACCCCCAGAAAAGGCTCAGTCTGAGAAGCTAAGACTCTTTAGGCTGGCAGGCTCACCATGGCTGTGCTCAGTGTCTCCCTAGTTCTGCAGCAGCAGGGGCTCTGGTCCTTGACCCAGGGCAGTGCCACTGTGCTGCATGGAGGCTGTGCTGACCGGACACCAAAAAGGTTTGCTCTCACATCCTCCTTCTCCTGCTCCTCCTCCTCCTTCTCTTCTTACCCCTCCCCTTCCTCCTTCTCTTCTTGCTCTTCCCCCCACCCGCCTTTCTTAGCCTAAAGTAACTCTGGTCACCCTGTGGGTTAGGCACAGCTAACCACAAGATCTAGGGTCCAAATCCACTCGCTGCTCCGTGGAAAGATGAGACAGATGAGGCTGTTGGCACCTATACAGATGACAGTCTCAGAAACCCTGGGGTGCAGCTCTGCTTAGTCTGATAGGGTCACTGTGAGTCAGGATTGGTTCCCTGAAAGTGGGTTTTGATTTGTGTTTTTGTTTTTATTTATATTTTTGTGTTTTCTTGACCTCTATTGCCTCTCCGGAGAACACTGAGCTCCTGTGCTGACCTAAACCACAGGGCCTTCCCACCCACTGCCGTGAGTGCTAATTCATACTTAGCCCTAAGATAGGACAAACCAGAACTGCTTCAAGTGGATGGTGGATTTGGACTGCCTTCCTTTAAGCTCAATGCTTAAGCCATGGCACCACCAGGGTTCATGGTAGCTGAGCTGGAGCGCATTAATGATTGCTGTCGTCTCCTCTCCTTCCATTCTTTTCCCTTCTTCTTTTTCCTTTTCTCCATTTTCCTATTTCCTTTCTGTCTATTTCTTTCCTCTCACTTGTCCTGTGATAAACGCTAGATAAGCGCTAGACCAACTCTTAGCTATCCACGGTAAACGTCTTGATAACTGCCAACATCACACCATCAGCTCTATTTGGGACAAATTGCAAAGTTGGCCAAACTTGAGGAGAATGACTTGAGTAATTTTCATTAATTCTCCTTCCTTTTTCCTTGCTCACTCCCCTAGTGGTAATTCTTATTCATGGCACTTAACTTCCTAAGCTTAAGGTCCCAAAACAGAAGAGTTTTCTGCTCTTAGAGGAAAGCACTTTTAAACTTCTAAGTATACAATGTGAGTGAAGACTTCACAGGACCTATAATATGACCTCAAAACCACTGCACTGAACTGCCTGAAAGAAAGTGCCACAGTTCTTGAAACAGAAGCGTGATGAAGTAAACAGGGGTGGAAGCTACCTTACCGGTATGTCAAATATCAACGGGGTCACCTTGGTGAGCCAGTTTCAGCGGAGTTTCCAGACAAAGAGCAGACTAAGAAGAAGGAACAGACTACTTCGGAAGGGCTAGCCGCTGGAGCCCTCGTGACTAGCGGCACCACACTGTTAGGCATGGTCCAGGAAGGCAGCTCAAAATCTGTCTGGGAAGAGCTGCCCCCTCAAATAGAGCCGACCCTGACGACACGGATGCACGAAAGCTTCCTGGACCTTCACGCACTGATGGGTCAGGACCCTGATTAAGAAGAAACAGCAGCAAGCATCCATTAAAATGTTAGAAACCAAAGATGGAAGGTATGAAATTGATGACAGGAGTATTGAAAGTGGTCAATCATGACATAAAACTCATACAGATCAACATCCAAGGCATGTATGAGCTGAAACGGACTGAAATTGGCCATTTTGAATCAGATAATTATATGGGTCAGTATGCCCGAAATGATAAATTCAAGAGGAATGGAGTCACGTTTGTTGTTCAAGATATATCTTAAAGCACCATTCTGTCTGTGATAGAATGATATCTGTACATTCACAAGGAAGTTCATTTAATACAACTATTATTCAAACTTATGCATGAATCACTAGAACTCTCAAAAAAACAAGCAACTCATTGTCATCAAGTCACTTCTGACTCATAGGTAGACCCTATAAAACAGAAGGGAACTGCCCTGTGCGTTTCCAAGACTGTACATCTTTATAGGAGTAGCAAGCCTCAACTTTCTCCTTCAGAGAGGCTGGTGGTTTCAAACTCTTGACCTTGCAATTAGCACACTACACCACTAGGTGTCCACTAAAACTAGTAACAAAAAAATTGAAGAATTCTACCAACTTTTTCAATCTGAAAATTGATCAAACATGCAATAAAGAGGTATTTATAATTGTTGGTCATTGGGATGCAAACATTGGAAACAAAGAGGAAGGAACAATAGTTGGAAAACAAGGTCTTGGTGATAGAAATGAAGATGAGGATCGCATGATAGAATGTTGCAAGACCAACTACTTCTTCATTGCAAATACCTTTTTAACAACATAGACAGCAAATATGCACTTGGACTTTGCCAGATGGATTATACAAGAATCAGATCGGTTATATTTGTGGGGAGAGGTGATGGCAAAGCTCAAAAAGAAGCCAAATCGAGGTCAGGGATCATCTTGGAACAGACCATCCATAGCTTATATTCAAGGCCAAATTGAAGCTGAAGAAAATTAACATAAGTTCACAAGTGGTAAAATACATGAATTTAGAGAACATCTTTAGAAAATATTTGACACATTGAACACTAAATATCTGATGAGCTGTGGGAGGACATCAAGAACATCATACATGAAGAAAGCAAAGGGTCATTAAAAAGACAAGAAAAAATGATCAAAATGATGTTAGAAGAGACTTTGAAATTGGTGTTCGAATGTAGAGTAGCTAAAGAAAATAGAAGAAACTAAATAAAAGAGCTGAACGGAAAATGTCAAAGGGCAGCTTGAGAGGGGAAAGTCAAGTATGATAATGAAATGTGCAAAGATCTGGAGTTAGAAAATCAAAAAGGAAGAACACTCTCACCGTATCTCAAGTTGAAAGAACTGAAGGGGATTCAAGCCTCCAGTTGAAATATTCGAGGATTCCACAGACAAAATGGGTTGCTCTGAGGGAGAACTGACTCGACAGCACCTAGCAGCCACCATCACAACAATGGGCGGATTCCTGACCAACACAGAAGCATCAAAAGAAGATCGAAGACATGCATAGAGCCAGAGCAGCACAAAGAATTGGTCAACCAACAACCATGCCAACAGGTAGGAGGGAAACAAAGAAGAAAGGGCCACACAGGGAGAGTTGACTGAGATAGTGTCACTGTTCTGATGAGGTAGGCTGTGCAGCTGTGTTTTGTATGTTTTCCCTGTGTGTGTGTTATATTCCACACATGAATGGGGTGGGGGGGGAGAGAGAGAAAGGTCACATCTTGAAACAAACATCCCCAGTTTCCTTCTCTATCAGATCTAAATAATGGTCTAAGTGGTTACAAAATACAAAAACCAAACTCACTGCCACTGAGTCAATGCCAACTCATGGCAACCCTATAGGACAGGTTAGAAGTTCTCCTATGAGTTTCTGAGATGGTAACTCTTTACAAGAGTAGAAAGCTTCTTCTTTCTCCCTCAGAGTGGCTGACCTTGCAGTTAGCAACCCAATGCATAACCACTACACCACCACGGCTCCTTGGGCCTCTGCATATGCCCTCCTTCAATGCAAGAACACTTTGTTCTAACAACCTGGCATTCTGTGAAGCTCACCCGCCCAGCACAATCACTGAAGACAAAGTGGGTGCATAGCAAATGTGGTGAAGAAAGCAGGTAGTGCCCAGCTATCAAAAGATATAGCGTCTGGGTTAATAAAGACTTGAAGTTAAACAAATGGCCATCTAGCAGAGAAGCAACCAGCCCACACAGAAGAAGCAAACCAGCCTGTGTGATCATGAGTTGTCTACGGGATGGGGTAACACGCATCAGAAGACTCAAAATAAACAAACAAACAAACACCATATTGTTGCGAATGAGGAGAGTTGGAGCAGAGATCCCAAGCCCGTCTGTAGACATGGAACATCCCCTCCCAGAAGGGTCACAAGGGAGGGATGAATCAACCAGGGCATAGTATAGCACCGATGAAACACACAGCAATCCTCTGGTTCCTTGAGTCTTCCTCACCCCCCACTGCCATGACACCAGTCCTGCCTTTCACTGCAGGCTAGCCCAGAACATATGCACAGATACAGATAAGAGATAGAGCTCAGGACACAAGGAACCCAGAAACAAGGATGGGAGTAGTGATACCAGGAGGGGAGGGGGAAGGTGGGGAGAAAAGGGAAGGAAGAGGGAAATGATTGCAATGATCGACCCATAACCACACACAACCAGGGGAACAAACAACAGACACCGTGGGGGAAAGGAGACAGTGATCAGTGTAAGATATGAAAGTAATAACAATTTATAATTTATCAAGGGGTCACGAGGGGGAGGGGGAGAGGAAAAAAGAGGAGCTGATACCGAGGGCTCAATAGAAAGTAAATGTTTAGAAAATAATGATGGCAACATATGTACAAGTATACTTCATACAATTGATGTATGTGTTGTTCTAAGAGCTGTAAGAGACCCCAATAACATGACTTTTTAATAAAGAGGGAGGCGGAGAAGTAGCAAATTTATCAAGAACCAATGGTCTTAAAGGAAGAAGTTAAATCTATATTGAAAGCATTAGCCAAAAGCAAGGCTCCAGGAATTGACATAACACCAACAGAAACGTTTCAACAATATAATGAAGCACCGGTGGTCCCCACCAGTCTATACCAAGAAATCTGAAAGATAGCTACCCAGTCAATTGAATGGAAGAGATCCATATTTGTGCCCATCCTAAAGAAAGGAGCAGAATGCAAAAATTATCAAACAATGTCATTAATATCACATGCAAGTAAAATTTTGTTCAACATCGTTCAAAGAGTGCATTTCAAGCTGGATTCAGGAGAGAATACGGCATGGAGATATCGCTACTGACATCAGCTAGAGCTTGGCTGAAAGAGAGAATACCAGAAAGATGTTTACTAGGTCTTATGGACCATACACAGGTATGCGCCTGGGTGGATCATAGCCAACTAAGGATAGCACTGAGAAGAATGGGAATTCCAGAAAGTTTCATTGTGCTCCCCAGGACCCGTACATGGGCCAAGGAGCAGTCATTGGAAGAGAACAAGGAAATACTGCGTGGTTTAAAACTGGACAAGGTGTGTGTCCGGGTTGCAGCCTTTGTACCATACTTATTCAAGCTGTTGGCAGAGCACATCATCCGAGAAGCTGGACCACGTGAAAGCGTGGGGTGGCATCCGGATGGGAGGAAAGCTTATTAACAACCTGTGATGTGCACATGACACCACCTTACTGGCTGAAAATAAGTGAATGTGAAGCACTTGCTGGTGAAAATTAAAAACGACAGTATGGGTTACAACACAATGTAAAGGATACAAACAGCTTGTCCTATGGACTGAAGGAGACACTAAGAGATTCGCATGGAGGAGAAATAGCGAGAAGCAGCGCTGTGCCCGGGCGCGGGAAGATGGGGGCACAGGAAGTGGGGAAAGTGGCACAGCCCGGGACCTTGGGGAGACGCGGGGGAGTGAACTGCACACCGGGGCCTGGCCGGACGCGGAAGTTCCTGCATTTGGGGGTACAGGCGGGTGGGCGTCGGGCGGCTGTGGTCTGGAGTGGGTTGGCCCTCGGGCTCCAGCCGCGCGGTGGCGCCCTCCCCCCGCCGGAAGTCGTAACCTCCAACCCCTACGTCGGCAGTAGAGGGCAAAGCATCAGTGCCACCTAGCGGCCAGAACCAACCTGGACGACAGTGGACTTGGGATACTCTGAAGTTCAAGAGCCCCCGCCCACGGTGCTGTAAAGTCGCTTTTTGGACCATTATGAGGAGAATCGAAAGGTATCCAAAACAAGGGGCCTCATAAGCTCCAGTGATTTTGCCCAGCTGCAAAAATACTTGGAATATTCCACCAGAAAGGTCAGTGCTGTCCTAAAGCGCTTCTCTAAGGATAGCTAGTTGACTTACTATCTCAAAGGAGATGCTAGTGGGCTACATGGGAGTTGCTGAAATTCCGGGAGTTGCTGAAAATCTACTTGGAAGTACATAACGTGCCCAATAACCTGTTTCAATCCTTCCATACTGGTCACGGCTTAGGTAAGGCTGCGCCTGAAGATGCGTGTCTCAGTGATGTCTCTTGCTATTTTCCCCCCTGGAGGGTGGCCAGCCAGCAGACAAGCTAGGATTTCACCTCCAAACTGCACAACATGGACAGCAGTGGGATCCTGGATAGCTCAGAGTGGACAGAATCATCATACAGATGATGCAAGTGGCTGACTATCTGGACTGGGATGTGTCTGAGCTGAGGCCGACTCCTCAGCAGATGATGAAAGACATTGAATACGATGGCAGTGGCTCCATCTCCCTAACTGAGTGGCTCTGGGCTGGGGCCACCGCTGTACCACTGCTAGTGCTGCTGGGCCTGGAGGTGACCCTGAAAGACAATGGGAAGCACATGTAGAGACCCAAGAGGTCCCCCTGACCAGTCTGTTTGTTGCAAACAAGGGCTGAGCTGTTACCTCTGTAAGTACCTCGCTCATGACCAGAGTGCCGTGAAGACCATGTCTTGTGACATTTTGGGGGGAAGTCAGACACTTGCTGCCAGACTGCTGTCTCATCCCACAGCAGGGCTGGGCCTACTCCCTGCTGCTGGAGACAATGGATTACCTCTCTCTGGAGCCAAAGGCCATTAGTTTGATTCCTGTGGGCGGAGTTCACACCTAACTGATAATGGTTCCTATGAAGACCCAAAATCAAGTTAAGCTGTTACCAGAAATCTAGGATCCGCCTATCTTGCTGCCTATCTTGCCGCATGTACACCCCCAATCCCTTCTCCTTCTGTCGTGCATATGTCCCTAGATCACCTCCTCCCATCACTGTAATACCTGTAGCACAACCCTTTCCTGTGACGTATGTCTTCACCTGTAATGTGGGGGCTTGCACGTCCCCAATGTCCCGAGAGAGTATAAAAGCTTGGGGAGCATTAAAGATCTCTCTCACTCCCTCCACGTGGACCACCAAGTGAGGCTGAGGTGAGCATGCTACCATAATATGTATCTGACTCCATTTATTTCTATATATCTCTTTTATCTCTCATGCTCTCTATAACTTTACTATAATATTTACTTATTATCGCTGTACAATTGCGCCTACCAAACCCGTAGTGATTGTGCTAGGAGCTGGCTTCTTCTGGCATGACGTCAACACCTATGCCAAGTCTCAGAAGGACCTAGGTGTCCAGCCGCCTGTGTGGGTGCGAGGAGGCTGTGGCTCAGGCGCTGTGACTATTATCAGAAAAAGATCCGGACCTACCACAGCTTAAGTGGTTGCATTGGGCGTGGTGCCACCTAGCGATCACGATGCCTGCCTGCAAGTAGCAGGCCCAGAGTGTGACTGTGGCTGTTCTGTGATCATATCCCTTCTCCGTCTTCCATTTTCCCCAGCGTCCTGGCCTCTGGAACTGATCACAAAACAAGCAAGGTAAGCCAGAAGAGCATGGAAGACTTAAATTCAGGCACTTCTGAGGCTCTGCAGATTGACCCTGTTCCCAATACCCACCCACTTCTCGTGTTTGCCAGCCCTAAGAGTCGCGGCAAACAGGGGAGAGCAAGCTTTGGAAGTCCCAGTCTCTGCTAAGCCCTCAACAGATTTCCAGCCTCCGAAAGGATGGTCCTCAGCTGGGGCTCAGATTCTTCCACGGCGTTGCTGATTGCGGTCGAGAGCGCAGAGTAGGCTGGCTTCCAGAGACCGTTGACAAAGCTAACTTGTCTTTTGTGCCTCCTGTCGCTGCGTTGCCCCTGGGTGCTAAAAGGACAGAATTTGGGGGGAACTCCTCAAAGATGTAGAGATGAGTAAGATGGTATGTATGGAGCAATGGTCTGTGGAAATGAGACCACAACGAACTGAAGAAAAGGGTGACCCAGTCCCTTTCCAAATCATCAATGATTACTTCTCCAGTGTTGTGGATGCCTCAATTGCTCACCAATTGCATAGCGTGAAAAAGGAATATACTGAGAAGTTCAAGAGCAGAATGAAGAACAAACCACGGCACTTCAAATTTGCCACATCTGAATCCATCTTCTCAACCTGCAAAACGCTGGAGGAGTCTTTGACAGTTGCGATCTGTGGGAGACCCCGGGATCTGAGCAACCTGTCCCTAGAAGGCATTGCAGCACTGGACATTTCTAGCATGCACAGTGGCTCCCACCTCCGGGGTGAGACCAAGAGGCCTCATGGAGAAAGCCAAATCAACCAGGTCCTTGGTACACAGGCTAAAGTCATCACTGACCCTAAGATCCTGAAAACCTGGGTACAAGACTTACATGACAAGCGGCTGCAGGGTGCCACTGAGATGGACTAGATCTATACCAAGCTCAAGCTTGCTGGACATCAGCTGGCCAGATGCTCTAAGATCACCTTTAACACCACAAAAACCTTCCCCATGCCAATTGATGGGGAACCATGGATGCAGCCATCCTGTACAATCAAGATCACCCACAAGAATCAGATGCCCATGCTCATGGGCCCACCCCTTGGATCTTCCCATTTCTTTGGCTTCTTGACTTGAACCCACCAGCCCATCCCTGGAACTCTACCCCATAGCCTCTGTATGTTGCTGCCACATCGCATGTGAAAGATAGACGATAAATAAGGAGAACCGTAGAAGAATGGATGCATTTGAATGACGGTGCTGGTGAAGAATTTTGAAAGCCCCCTGGACTGCCAAAAGAACAAACAAATCTGTCTGGGAAGAAGTACACTCAGAATGTACCATAGAAGCGAGGATGGCAAGACTTTGTCTCGTGTGCTTTAGAAATGTTACCACAAGAGACTAGTCCCTGGAAAAGTACATTATCCCTGGTAAAGTGGAGGGTCATCCAAAAGGAAAAGGAGCTGCTAGGAGAGAGATTGACACAAGGCTGCAAAAATGGGCTCAAAGAGAGCAACTATGGGCACATGCCTTGACAGTGTTTCGTTCTGTCAGACAGCCTTGCTATGAGGCAAAATTGACTTGATGGCACCTAACAACAACATATGTAAAGATAGATAGATAGAGAGATACACCTGGATATATGTACATCTTTATCTCATATCTGTGGACGCGAGATAAAATAGGTAAATGATAGGTAGATGATAGATAGATAGAATGATAGATAGATAGATAGATAGATAGATAGATAGATAGATAGATAGATAAGATATGACAGACAATACGGAGACAGATGGGATTGTGCATACACCTAAATCCTGTCTCCTGAGGAGCAAGAGGAAAAGGAGTTAATAGCACTAGTGAACAAATATGTCAGGGTGCCAGGACTCTGGACTTACAAGGCTACCCTAGTAAGCATTACATAATAGTGGCTTCATGAGCCAGAGTGAGCAAGCAGCAAGCAAGAATGTGGATATATTGAACTTTACAGAACCTTGGGAAAAAGAAAGAAAAGAGCTCATTGCCCTGGAGTCAATTATGATCTTCAAGGCAAATTTTTACATTCTGCTCCTACCCCGCCCACTTCTGATTGACGGTCATCAGGTGAGAGGCCTGTGGGGGCTGAGACCTTGAAGAGGGGAGGAAAGCTGAGAGCTTCTTTTTCTCTTTGTTCTGCTGGCTTTTAGGATGTGTTACTTTCATGAGCAGTAGCTGCGTCAACTCCGCCATGAGAACGATCGTGAAGGCGGCACAGGACCGGGCGGTGTTTCATTCTGTTGTGATGCATCGCTATGGGTCAGAACCACCCCACAGGCACCTCACAACAAAACCACCTTTCATGACCATGGTCAGCTCTGGTCAACATGAGTTTCTCAGACAGTTTTAACACAGAGACTCCTTTTTGCTCTGTTGTCAGCCAGTTTAAGGAGCTCTGTCAGGTAAGGGTTGGACTGATAAATGCAAGGTTGGCAGTTCAAATGCACCAGCCATCCATTGGGAGAAAGTCAAGACCATCCACTCCCACAAAGTTTTACAGCCACAGAAACCTGCATAGGGTCTTTAAGAGTTTTTGTTTTGTTTTGATTTGGGGGATAGTTTGCTATTAAAGAAACTTACTGAACTTTTAAGTCTTGCAAGAGTAACGTGGCTGATTTTCTCCATTTAGCAATAGTCCTTGGACACGAGGGTTGGACACTAACAACTATTGTGTGTATGGACCACTTTCTTTACCCATTCTTCACTGATGGGCGTTTGGGTTGTTTCCATCTTCTTGCTTTAATGAACAGTGCTGCGATGAACATGGTATACATATATGTGTTCATATCATAACTCTTACTCTTTTGGATATAGACCCGGCTGAGGGATTGCTGAATCATATGGAATTTCTATTCCCAGTTGTCTGAGGTCATGCCACATGTATTTCCACAATGGTTGTAGATATTTAGAGACCCATCTGAAGTGTGTGAAGCTTCTAATTTTCTCCACATCCTTTCCAGCATTTGTTGTTTTCCAATTTTTTTGTTTGATTTTGTTTTAATTTGGCTCTCATTGTTAGTGTAAGGTCTCATCTCATCACACTTTGATTTGCATCTCCCATTTGTTTGTTAGGTTATTTATCTTTATCTTAATGAGGTGATGCCATTTTCTAGAAAAATGAAACAGGACCCATACCTCATCTTATGTACAAAGGTCATGAGCAGACGGTTCACCAAAAGGGGCATCCAAATGGATAACAAAAATGAAAAATGCTCACAATCATTAACCATCTGGTGGAACTATAACTATCCGCCACCAAGATGGCACGACCTCAAACCACTGGGAATAAAAATTGCTTATGACCTAGCTATTCTTCTGCTGGGTCTATATCCACAAAGTCCATTGTAGTTCACGATAGCGAGTACTGTTCACAGTAGAAATAATCCAAGCACCCATCAGTAGAAGAATGGATAAGGAAACTGGTACATACCCACAGTGGAATACTATGCATCACTGAAAACAAACAAACAGGGATGACTCCAGGAGCACCTATGGCATGGATGGCCCTGGAGAACATGCTGCTGAATGAAAATAGCCAAGTACTGAAGGACAAATATTGTATTAAATCGCTGTTATAAGGAGGGGTGGGGAGAAAACACAAAGACAAAGGCATTCATAGCAAAGGGAACAGACTTTGAAGGTGGCCATGGGGACAGGGAGGAGGAGGGAGAGGAGGTGAAGAAATAGGCTAAAGGGATGACCGTTATTATTGTGAGTAAAGAAGAGTCCAGTCTTCCACAAGAGGAATAAGGGGATCAAACAGGAGGAGTAGGGTAAGCTCTTGGGGTAGGGGGGGACAGTAGTTTAAACTGTTGAATGCAAAATTGGTTATTTGAAATGTCGGACCCCCATCTAATTCACAAGTGAAAAAATATTTAATTACTCTGGCTCTAATTCTAGAGAATGATTCATTCTATATGAAGGTGAAGAGGTTAAATAACCCAGAACTGAGACTGGCATCACACTAAGACTCTTGGATAAGAAAGGGTTTAGTTGTTCAGTTGTTGTTTTTTACCTAAGACAGTAATATGTTTTCAGATAGCTATACAGTGTTAAGATGATATTTAGATAATCTTTAGCAAGAGCTTATAGGCATACCTCTGCACACTTGCTACGATGGCTACAGTAGGAAAGATAGGCAATAACAAGTGTAGACAAGGGGTTGAGAAACTAGAACCGGAATACATTGCTGCTGGGATTGTGAAACAGCACAGTTACTTTCAAAAACAGTTTGCTGGCTTCTCAAAGTGCTAAATATAGAGTCCAGCAATCCCACTCCTAGGTATATACCTAAAAGAATGGAAAATATTTATCCATGCAAAACTTTGTACATGATTTTTATAGCCATATTGTCAGTATTATTCATAATTGCCAAAAAAATGAAAACAACTCAGATACCTGCTAGCTGATGACTGGGTAAACTTGATAAAGCCATAAAATGGAGTGTTTGACGACAAAAAGAGAATGAAGAACTGATTCTTGGATAAACCCTGAAAACATTACTCTAAGATTCATAGGTTCCTAAACTTATTTGGTCTCCCATCCCCTTTTCAGAAAAAAAGAAGAAAAAAGTTACTCAGTGTCCTCCTGGCAAGTAAAAACTCTTAATCCAGGATAAAGTGTGTGTATCTGCTTCTGCTGTCCCTTTGAATCCTTTCAGTGACCCCCAGGAAGTGGTATCACCCACTTTGAGTAGCACTGCTCTAAGTGAAAGAAGCTGGACACAAAAGACCACGTGGTGTATGGTTCCATTTACAGGCAACATCCAAAGGAGGCAAAGCTGTATAAACAGAAAGCAGAGTGGTTCCCAGGGACCTCGCTCGGGAGGGGAAAAGGGAAGGTAGAGAACTTGTGGATGTGGGCTTTCTTGTGGAGGTGTTGAAAATCTACTGGAATTAGATTGTAATGGTGGTTCTTTAATCCTCTGACTAAAAAACACCTACTGAACTGTATAATGCAGAAGGATGAATTTTATCTACCCACATGAAATTATAAGAAAGAGCCTCAATGTATGTATGGATGATTGTGATAAGAGCTGTATGAGCCCCCAATAAAATAATTAAAAAAGAAAGAAAGAGCCTCTACACAGAGATACAGATACTCAAGTTTATTGTTGAAATTTAAAGGGCCTGCCATCCACTTAAATAAATACACAACATATTTAAAACTATACAATATGCTGTCATAACTTAAATATCTTATGAAACTCAAGCACACACCATGTTTATATGTTATACAATTATTTACCTTGCAGTAATAAATATTTACAATTTTTGAACATTTTTACAGAAAATAATAATTCCATATGTAGCCTGATCATAATAGTGGCTTCTGTTTTATTGTGTTTGGTTGTCCCCTGGACAACGCCCCCCCACCCCCACTCTCATTTTCCAGAATTTTCTGCCTGTTTAAAGCCTTCATGGTCCTGACCATTAGCACACATCCCTGCTTGCTGTTGGCTTTGCTGTTGCCAGTCTGAAGGCAGCCGTTCTCAGAACCCTCCTTTTGAACACGTGCTAGATGAAGGACCATGTGGCAGCGCACTGATGCTCACATTGCTGGCACAGCCTTGACAATGGCTGGCCGAGAATATCTTGCTTTGGTAACTGGAAATTGGTTGGGAATGTTCACCTCTGCTCATGAATAAACATAAATAGTTGCTCATTGAGGCACTCCTCTCTTCAAGAACTCCCAGACATACAGAATAAAGCAAGAAGGGAACGTGCCCATTAGAGACCCCTTCCTTTCCCAAACACCAGCGGGAAACTGCTTCACACAATAGATGTACCCGACATTTACAATCTTATGCAATAAACAAGAACTATATGAGTCAGAACTGACTCGATGTCCGTGAGCTTGGCTTATAGACACTTCACATCTGAAAATATCTTTGTAGGACAGCAGCGTACAGCCATATTTTTCTTTTTTTCAATAAAGACTTTTATAATATTGTATTTTAATGTGTTTCCAATTTTGCGTAAATAAAATCAGAGCGTTTGGCCAACGTGGAAGATTTTCATCATGGATACCACACACAAACAAAAAACCGGGCACTGTGCAAGCCCTCCCTCCTGTTTTTATTCTATCCCTCCTCATGGTTTAAACATTGTAGTATAGCACTCAAACATTTGTGCTGGGTAACTAAAAACCCAAACTCACTGCTATTGAGGTAGGACAGGCCCTGTGGTTTTCCAGGACTGTAGCTCTTTGTGGGAGTAGAAAGCCTCACCTTTCTCCCTCAGAGCCACCGGTGGTTTCAAACTGCTGACCTCGTGGTTAGCAGCCCAGCTCGTACCCACAAGGAGACAATATTTTCACTTTTTTGGACATAAATTTACTACAGAAATAACAGTGGAAAATGTTCAAAGCAAAGAGATGGATAAAGTAAGTAACCTTTGCCTTCTCAATATCCCTAATATCTACATATTAAAGTCTCTACAACACTTTTACTGAAGACAAACACTAGACCGTTAAACTATTTCCAGTACAAACAAATACAAATAAAAAGAACACAATCTTTTAGTACCCATTGAAACACGTGGAATCCCATGGGGTTAAAAATAAGACTGTGCTTCATCACCCCTGTGCAGGGCGGGGTGGTCAGACCCTTAGCACCCCTTCTCAGGGGGTCTCCTATGGTCATTAGCAATTTTATACTTTTTCAAAGTTACTACTGGAATATTTCTGGCCAATTTGTTTTCTCTACACTTGTCAAAATGTTACTTTCCCTGGTGACAGCACCCATGTCATTAGCAATTGGAATAATCCCCCAAAACCCTGTCAACTCTCTGCTAGGAGATGGATCCTGGCTCATAGCAACCCCTATGCCTTTCTGAGACTGGAAGCGCTGACAAGAGGAGAAAACCCAGTCTTTCTCCGGCAGAGTTGCTGGTGGTTTTGAACTGCTGCCCATGGGGATCACAGCTCAATACGTAACCACTACATCACCAGGGCTCACTACAAGGGTCAAAAGGAAGGAACAAAGTCACACCATATTATGCTTCTTCACCAGTGTTTCATGGCAAGCAAGGGAGCACTAGGATAGGAATTCCAGGGCCATGGCCTCTTCCTTTTGCCCTGGAAAAGAATATCCTTTCCCTTCAGTACCCAATACTTTGCTGATTCCGAGACTAGGAAAGAGGAAGCTGAGTCTCATAGGAAAGAAAAGCTGAGTCTCATAGGTTGAAGTCCGGCCTTCCCCCACTGGATTTAGGATGGCGCAACACCATGCCGCTGAGGCAGCAGGTTTAGTAGGTGAGAATTGCCAGAGGTCCACGGAGAACATTCTCTCAGCTGCTTCGGTGCACCACTTCAGTTCCCTGAGATACCATCTGTTCCTGCAAAGAGAGGCATGCATGCCGTCAGAACACGTAACACTTTTGCATATGAATAGTAATAGGAAAATCCATTTTCCAGCAGAGTCCTGTTAACATTCTCATTGGAATTGTCAGCTAAGGCTCTTGTCAAGTGACAGTAAGTTTTTAAGTGTGTGCTGTGGATCTCCTCATTTAAGTCTAAACAGTTCCATGTGATGAATAATAGTACCAAGTGATTGCTAATAGGCCACTGTGCTGTTGTTTAGGGCGATGAGAAACTTAGAAATGGATAATGGTAATAGTTGCACAGCATGAAGGATGTAATTAATATAAGTGAATTGTACATGTAAAATATTGAAATGGCAAATGTCTTGTTATATGCATTTTTATAACATACTTATAGCAAAATGTCGTTTCAATATTTTTACGTTTAACCTTTTTTACATGTGATACACAAAACATTGGGCATTTTGACATTTTTTACATTCATAACGTATCTTTGATAGATTGCCTGGGGTTATAAACTATTAAGTGACGGAGCCAGGATGCAAATTCAGGAAGGAAGTTCACGTCTATTTCCAGAGTGTGTCGATTCCTGCCCACCACACGCACTGTGCTGAACCCTAACATGCAGGCAACAGAGGAAGTGGAGGAAGTCACATTACATTGAGGGGGCTATAATGAATGAGATGAGACAAAAGGTGTCCAACTGACAATCTGCTCTGTGACCCTTCAACTGATTCATGATGTTTTCTAAAACTCAATGTGTGATGTGGTGAAAAAGAAGAGATTTTGTCTCGGCTCTCTGGACAATCCAGACCTATCGCTCCTTCTTTCCCAAAGAAACAAATCTGAGCAGTCGGTTTGTAAATGGCCAGTGGACGGTGTCTGTGAGCTGGTGAACTGTACTCTTATAACCACATGGGCAAGCATGTAGTGCATTCTCTACTCCACTCCAATTTACTAGGACTGACAGGGGTTGGGGCTTGAAGAGTCAACCCAATATTATTTGATGGTAGAACTATAACATAGTTTAAAAGAATGATATAGTTTGTCAAGACACAGCTTAACTAGAAATTCTCCACAACTGTGACCCTAAATTGAACCCCTCTAGCCAAGGAGACTCTCAAAGATACTAGCTAAGTCAAAGACCCAGTTCTCATCTGGATGTTATGAATCTTCCTGGGGCTTTCTTTGCACCATCCCCCTGTATCTCCGGCCTGTCTCCTCCAGATTCAGAGTCCCTGGAAGTGGGAAGATCTGTAATTACAATCTTTGTTAAAACAAAACTTGGTTTTCCCACTTTGTGTCTGTCATCCCAAGTGTTGTGTCAGTTTGACATAAGTCTTTCACTCAGCCTACGTATTTGCTGCGAGAGCAGAGAAAATGGGAGGCAGTCATTAGAAGAAACGTCTTGGCCGGACTCCTTTTTCAGGCATGTGAAAATGAACCTCAGAATCTTTTAAATCTACCTAGCTCCTTATAAGCTAGCAATGGTGATGGGGAGATGCAGGGCCTCTTGGTGCTCACTCTACAACAGGACTACTTGTTACCAAGTCTTCTCTGCTAATTAACCCTGTGCCTTTGAATCGGCAAGTGACACTTAAGATATTTTTTTAATATGCAAGCACTCTTTTTAATAAACTTGATAAGATGCTATAGAAATAAAATATTACTGTCTAGGAACCACTTTATATATTATTTCAATCTAAAGAGGCGCATTATCCGTAATATGTGGCTATTTAAGGACAGTGCTTTAACATTTAAGTCCATTGTGTGTCTGCACCTAGTCCCCACTTATGTACTTATCCTGCCATCGCACATGCTGCATTTAGGGTTCTAGTAAAGAAATCTGCTATCCAGCTCTTTTGTGCTTTAATAAGAGGTTAGTATGTCAGTAGAGACTATAGGTGCAAGGTGAACATAATACAACTGTGGTGGTTAAGGTTATGTCAACTTGGCTGGGCCATGGCTCTCAGTGACTTGGCAGTTATGAAATGAAATTCCATTTTGTGGTCTGATGTGGTCTCCCTCCATTTTCTTTCTTTTTCCTTTTTTTACCCTCCATTTTCTTATAATGCCAATTTTCACATAACCTGGACTTTTGGCTTAACCATGATGCTATGTGAGAAGTGGGTGTATACAATGAACACAAAACTCAAATTCACTGCCATTGGATCCATTCTGATTCATAGCAACCCTACAGGAAGAGAAGCACTGCCTCTGTAAGTTTCTGGCACTAAAACTCTCTCTGGGAGTAGAAAGTCTCCTATAACCTTTGCTACACATAGGAGATGTGGTGGCATCATGAGTTAAACATGGGCTACTGAAAGGTTGGCAGGTCGAATCCACTAGCCACTCTGAGGGAGAAAAATGAAGCAGAACGCTTTTGCAAAGATCTACAAGCTTGGAAACTAGGAACTTGTTCTACTCTGGCCTCCAAGGTCTCCAGGAGTTAGAATTGACTAAGTGGGCTTGCTACACACCCAGAAACTCCCGAGTTCTCTCAAAGTTTGAACTTTAGTAACAAAAGTCCAACCACAACTCTAGAGGTAGAAACGTTTCAAGAAAATAAGACATGGCTTCTGATTAGCTAGATGTTGCCTGTATCTAATCAGATCCAGGGATGGATGATGACACCGTACTCTGAGACTCCTCACCTCCTCATAGCCCCTCCCCCCAAAGCTAGACCACCCCGAAAGAAGCACAACAGCGACAAAGAAATGAAACAGCATTCCAGAAAATACCTGGAAAGTGGCCATTGTTCTCCAGAAACAGGCAGGTTTGGAGGGTTCAAAGGGCAACAGAATATGCAGAGAGAACAGCACTTTCTTATAACCATCAAAACATGTGATTACGAAGTCTCACCTGATGCCTTTGAACTTAAATTGACTCTGGAGTCAGTTCCGAGTTATAGTAACTGCTGTGGAATAGAATGAAAACGCAAAGTTAGGCACTGTTACCTGACACGAAAAGGGGGCAACGTGCAGGTTGTTCAATGGCATGCTTTGTAAAAGAACGTAACCTACCTGGGGAACAAATTGTCTTGCTGCAAGAGAAAAAACAAAACAAAACATTAATTTAGGCTAAATGATTTTTAAAAACACATCATATCCACAAATACGGCTTGATTCATAAAGGGTTTGCACATTCAGTGCCTGCATCATAATCAAAGTGCAAACACAAGGAAAAGGGATGGTGTCGAAGTGGACAATGCATCCCTCCCCAAAGACACAGCAGCTAACTGACTCCAGCAAGTGTTTGCGGGCTCAGCTAGCCAGATTCATGAAAAGGCAGAAATCTGGATTTTTATGGGAACTTTCCTGTTCTATAAATATCAGAACTGAATTCAGCAAAGTTTGATGATTCTGTGGGCCAACCCAACCACGGCTGTGGTCATTCCCTGTGAAATACTCCACAATATAAGCTTATCTCCCAAATAAACCATCTTGGGAAATATTTTGTGCATTTTCTTAGGCACACTAATCAGGGCAGCCTCATTGCACAACTATAGGGGGTGCCACAGAGCTCAATGCGAATCGCAGCGTTGTAAAATGTCAATACAACTAATGCAGTATCTCCTAACACTCTTCCCACTTTGAGCTGCAATGTAAGCTCTTTTCTTAAAATTTCCATTTCATTATACTGCAGCCGATCCACGGTCATCTAATAATTCAGTTTTAATCACTGTTTAACATTGCAGAAGGCCATGAGGCCACTGACTCCTTTTATGAGAAAATATCTGTTTCCAAAAAACGTATGTGGAATGCATTCATGAGCCCCCGCACCTTTCTTCCGGAGGCGTTTCATGAGCCAGAGGAGAAATGAAGTTAATGTCAGAAGGGAGGTTCCAGCAGTAGAAAGACCAACTGTCAAGGGAACAATGGACTGAGCGGCAGCTAAGGAAACAGAAGGAGAAGAACTGTCACAGCAAAGAATTGACCTTTTGCTCTAATTAAATTGATGCGATAGGAAGAACAGTCATCTTGTCCAATGCATGAGGCAGAGACATGGGCAGTAATGACCTTTCCTATTTGCCCCAACCATTTTTGCAGGCTGATCATCTACCACTGTCCAGGCAGAAATAGAACTTGCTCTTTTATAACACCATTAACCTTCGTTAATAGTGTTTCTCTCTCTCTCTCTCTCTCTCTCTCTTCTCCCATCCCACCCTAGTTTTCCTTTTCCCTCTACCTCTCCTTTTTCCAATAGTCAGAATTCTAACCTTTAAGCCAATACACCACCCCACCTCTTCTTCACTATCTCAATGGATTCCCCAGCTTTGTAACCTGAACAACCTTTGTGGTTGGACATAAGGAATCGTTAACTATTGTAATCTGGTGCCTCCCTTTCTTCTCTCTAGGACCCAGACAGCCACTACCAGTGAATCCCTCACCTTCGCAGCTGGGCAACATCCCAGACCAGTGTCCTGAGGCACCGCACGTCAGCACTGCAGAGCCATTGAGTGTCCACCCTTCGGGACATACAAATGTACATTTGGTCCCAAACACAGGCTCTCCACTACAGCTCATGTTGATTTTCCCAGGAACTGCCAGATGTGAACACTGTACCGCTGCACGGGACAAGCAAAGGGGAAGAGGTAAATAAAGGGCTATTGGAAAACGTCTAAAGCTGGTTTAAACTTTATGGCTAAAAGTTACAGCAAATATAACTTATAAGCACTACCTTCTTTTAAGCATGCAGGGAATGAATTATCCAACCCATTGAGCAACTTGATCTGTAGCCCTTAAAGTCTGAACTCAATCCCACCTTGGCAGGAGGGGGCTTCCTGTGTCCACTGTCCCAGAGACGTGCACTCAAGTTGAGCTGATCCACGTAACTCAAAGCCTTCCCCACAGCTGAATGCACAGGAGGACTTGTAGGTGAATTCTCCAGCGGGCGAATGGGTACACGTCACCGAGCCGCTTTGGGGCTGGCTGACAGCTCCACATTTCACAGCTGGAAGACATCAAAGAGCACAGGATAGGTTTGTTTTCATCTGGAAGCAACAGGTTTCTCAAAGTAACCAAGTCCTTGGCTCTCCAATAGTGCTCATCTTAAACAAGTTAAAAATAAAAACCGAACAAAAACTCTACCTTCACATATGGGTCTGTCATTGTCCCACTCCCCAGTGGGGCCACACTGAAGCATTTTGGATCCCTTCAACACAGATCCCTGCTCACAGGAGAACTCACATCTGGACCCACTTTCGAAACTTCCAGATGCACTAGGAAGACAGTTCACATGGCCTCTCTCCGGACTGGACAAGGCTTTGCACTGTAGAGCTGAGACATCAAAACAATAGAAAATGTTGAGTGGAATTGGGAGCTGCTCGGCATTCGATGACTGGACCCAGTTCATTTTGGACAGAAGAACGTTCAAAGAACTCTAGACTTATCCCTGGACAACATGGAGGATGACTGTGCTTTCTAAAAGTCCAGTACCCTCAATGGTGGTGGTGCTTCCGGATAGGCAAGAACAATGGTTTCTGACGCTGTCCTTCTGACATGCAAGTGAATTAAGGTCATAAAACAGAGTTTATGCAGCCAGAGTGCAGCTTATGGGTTGTAGATACTTACAGAATGGGGCAAGAAAAAAAAAGGAAGAAAAATAAGGCATCCACATAAAATTTGTGTGCTTTGAAGTTTGTGGTGATAGGGTTTTATTGTGTGACTAAAACTCATTCTGTGCTGGATTTGGCAACAACCAACTTAGCGTCTGATAGCCAAACCTGCTTGCTTTCAATATCTTTCCTCTTGTTTGTAAGTGAAAATTACATTTCGGTGCTTAAGTATGTATGAAGCATATCTTGCATCGTACGTTAGGCATTCTGGGTACTATTAGTTAAGGGTGGTTTCAGAAGAAAGTTATGTTCAGAGTTTTAGATTCAACTCAAGATTTCAGGACCCTACTCTGAGGATTTGCTCCTGTGATTCCCCCTGGGTTGAAATTCCACTGATTCCATGCCAATGTCTATACGGTTACGTTGGCACAGCTCAGTGAAGAAACCAGCAAAGTATCCGCTGCTGGTTTACTACACACTGTCCTTTCCATGGTCAGGCATTGGCTCTTTTACTGAAATCGTGAAAATGCAACATGAATGTTGCCCATCAAATCTGATTTCTCTAGTTAAAGAAGGCATCTCATTTTCCTTCCCCAGGCACACTTTTGAAGGCGGATGCTCTTTGAGAATGGGAACGCTGCCAAGGAGAGGCGCTCGGGCTTACCTTCACAAGTTGGGATCTGTTGTGTCCATTGCCCTTGTGCAGTGCACTCAACCTGGGCTGCTCCCTGCAACGTGAAACCTTCGTCACAGGTGAAGCGGCATGAGGACTGGAAGGTGAACTCTCCAGCAGGGGCCTGGCTGCAGTCCACAGAGCCATTCTGAAGCTGTCTGATGGCGCCACAGGTCACAGCTGCAATACATGCATCCATTATAGTAGCAGGGGTTTTACAATACATGGTGTTGTTTCCCAGTGAGCGGCTGAAATGAAACAACTCTACCTTCACACGTTGGCCTCTGGCTGTCCCAGGACCCGGATGAGGTGCACTGGAGGCTCGGGGCGCCCATCAGGTCAAATCCTTCTTCACAGTCAAATGCACAGGTGGTGTTCCATGGGAAGCTTCCAGGGCTTTGGAAACAATCCATGCTTCCGTTGGCAGGACTTGTCAACGCAGCACACTCAACCACTGCGGATTTGAAAGAGCCCCAGAAATGTTTCAGAAGAGGGGTGTTTTCATTCCTTTCCTAGAAGGAGGAAGGTGTCTCCCAAAATAAGTCCGAAAGCACTATGTACACTCTTGGGGATATGTCCACCCACAGTAAAACTTTCTATTTTTTCATTTCCACTGATATTTTCATCTTCTCTGATTAATTTTTACTTTGACGGTGATGAGGGATTATTGATTTTTAAATGATTTACATAAAGTTAAAAAAAAAGAGGTGTAAGTATTTTGCGATGAGTACTGATTTTTTTTAAAAAGCCTTACTTTGGTCAACAAACACAGGATATTTGCTTATTTTAAATCAATTGGACCTGCAGGAAAAGTTTATTTGCTTGTTTGTTTATCTCTGCTCAGGAAATCAAGAAGCCCTGGTGGCATCGTAACCACTATGCAAGGTGGGTTGCTAACCCTGAGGTCAGCCTTTCGAAACCACCAGCCTGCTCTGCAGGAGAAAGAGTGGAAAGGCTTTCTACTCCTGTAAAGAGTGGCAGTCTCAGAAACTGCAGGGGAAGCTCTGCTCTGTCCCAGAGTGCCACTATGAATCAGAATCGACTCGATGGCAATGAGTGTTTGGGGTTTGACATCTGGATCAGAAAGATAAAACTGGTGTGGTGTGTGTGTGTGTGTGTGTGTGTGTAGAAAGAAAGAGAGAGACAGAGACAGAGAGGGAAAGCTTGGCTAACATGGCCTTGAGCCAGTCTGGAAAATAAGTGGGGGAAATGAGGCTGTCACGAAGATGTGTAGAAAATATTTCCTCTGTTATCTACGTTCCTTCATAAATGGCAAGAGCTATATAAATACCCATTTCCAGGTTTATTTTCTTTTTGAGATAGAGAGGGGGGAAAAAACCTTTTCTCTATTCATGTAGGTATTAGATTGTCCCTATAGATTGACCGAGAGTGTATATTTTATTACCTAAAAAAGACAACCAAAAATGACTTTCCTTAGCATTTTTAACTTAAGTGGGATTACAAAAGTCAAAGGCTGTTGGGGATGAGTTAGAGGACGTACGTGTATTCCAGAGAGTCTTACCATTGCAGGCTGGTGTAGGAGCACTCCACTTTCCAGAGGAGGTGCACTGGGTGGCCTCCATGTTGCTGGGGAGATAGCCCCTTTCACAAGTGACTGAGCAGGAAGAATTGTAGCTGAAGTCTCCCCATGGGTGGGTGCAAACCAGGCCCCCATGCTCAGGGGCTTTCTGTGCTTCACAGGTCACAACTGAAAAAAGAAACCCAATCACTTATGGCCATCCTTCCCTTTGTATGCGGAGGAAGAACACTGACTGCTTACTGTGGCCCAGGCCCTGCAGGCATCCTTGGTCTGCGTTTGATCACATGGTCTCATCTCTCAGCCTAGGAAGTTGATACTAGCATCATCTTCATTTACAAATGAAAAAATCGGGACCCAGAGAGTTTCAGTGACTTGTCAACATCCCATAGCCAATGAATGGTGAATCTGGGACTTGGATCCTGGCATGCCAACCCTTTAACTTCACATCTTCACCGGGCATTTTACTCTGTGCCAGGGAAGGGAAGGCAGGCAGATTTGCCTCCCGAGCCAGATAGAACATGAGATGGGACCACCATATGCGGTGAAGGGAGCTGAGACTACGACTTACCCTGCTCGCAGTGGGGTCCCTCAAAGCCCGGGTCACACTTGCAAGTGTAGTTATTGACGGTCTCCACACAATCCCCATGGCCGCTGCAGGATGTATTGGTACAGGCAGCTGTGGGAAAGACAATCGAAGACGAGGACAAGTGTGTCAATAATGGTGGCAGGTAAATTTAGCACCAACAATGTTGATCAATGACACAGAGGGCCAAAGTGCCAGAGGTGAGTTTAGATTTCTCTCTTTTGAACCTGTTACTCTGTGACACTACAGGAGTAGCAGCAATAGCACCACATACAGAGTTAGCGTTCGGACAGATTCTGAGTGATGCCCGTACCACCGATGAACAAGTTACAAAGACACACATGATGTGTGCTTCCACATGCTGTACATAGAAGAGCCACTTGATGCTGAGTGGATTCTAACTCCTGGTGACCCCGTGTGTGTCAGAAGAGAACTGTGCACCTTAGGGTTTCCACTGACTGATTTGGGGGAAGTGGGTAGCCAAGCTTTTCTCCCAAAGTGCTTCTGGGAGAACCCAAGCCATTAATTAGCCTTTTGATTAGCAGGCATGTGAGTTAACCTTGGCACCACCTAGACATATACACACAAACATACACATTCCTGGCTATGAAGAAGCAAAAAGAGATGCTTTATTCATTAACCAAAACTTGCTTAAGACTACTGGATCTCTTTTAGAACATGAAATTGGCACACTAGAGATGGACTTTTACATACTGCCAATGACCTGTCAAGATGCTCACATACTGAAACGCACTCCCTCGCTGCCCCAGCCCCCACCTGTGTAGCACAAGGCAAGCTTCTTTTTGTTGCAACTCTCATCATTCCACATGCCCACATCCTTGTCTCTCTTGATGTAGATCTCCACACAGTCCTCGTTGTTTCGCTTATTGTTTGGTTCTCCTGGAGCCCAGTTCTCAGCTTCTTTGGTCAGAGGTTTCTGGGTCCCTTCCCAAATCCACACGCCCTTGGCCTTTCTGATTCCAATCCAGTAGTAACTTGGCGAATAGCTTAAGATGGAGTTCAAGTACTGAATCTCTTCTTTGTTTTGAATGGCCACCAGATGGGTGTACCACTTTTGGCAATACACACTTGCCTCATCGTAAGTCATGTTTTCGGTGGAGGTATTGTAAGACCAGGCTCTGCTTTCTTTAGTCAGAAGCAACACTACAGGGAGACATGGGAAAAATGGTAATGGTTAGTCCAATCTGCTTGATCTTGGTGTTTTTCTCCCCAGGGGGCCAAAACTGTGCCGCTTGAACAGAGCAGTAGCCTTTAGGATGGCTCAAACTTTTTTTCAATTTTCAGAATTAAGAAAGTGTGTGTGTGTGTGTGTGTGTAAACTACACTTATTGTGACTCCCCTTTGCCATTGGCCCTCCTGAACTGCAGCCTACTCACTTTGTAGTAGAATAGTAGTCAGAATAACTAAATTTCGTTGAGCATGTATTATGTGCTGTCCAACACTACCTGAAGCACTGTATTTAGGCATCATGACGAAATCTCACAGTGCCTCTGGAAAATTAGTGCTTTATGACCAATATTTCACACCTAAAGAAGGTAAGCCCCCGAGGGGTAAAGTCAATGGCCCCTGCTCATTGGCGTAGAGTCCATCCAGACTCATACTGATCTCCGGTGCACCGTGATCTTTTGGAAGCGGATTGCCAGACTTATTTTCTGAGGCTCCTCTGGATGGGTTCGAACCTCCAACCTTTCGGCTGGTAGTTGAGCACTTCAAAATTTGTGCCACCCAGGGATTCAAATTGCCCCTAGCCCAGGGCCTCATCCCATGACTCTCAGGGTACTAACTGTTCCATATATAGATAATGTGACCTTTAAGATACTAGTCTAACTAATGACATTGACTTACCCAAAGTGAGAACAGACAGAAACTGTGCTGCAATCATGACTCCAAGAGCTCTTTATCAGGGATCTGAGGAGAAATTCTTTTCTGTAGAAGGGGAAAGTACAAAATTAGTCGCAGAATGAAATTCTGGGTAGCTGGTTGCACACATAATTTTACAGCAGCATCTTAAGATTTTAGGTAAAGAATCCCAGTGCCAAATCTTTGTGTGCATCAAAGACGTGTACTTAAATGCCTAAGTACAAATCTCAGATTTTTCCTCATTTAGGGTAAAGAAAAAAGCCAGGGTTTTCACTATCTAACACCATAAGAACTTGCAGAAGAACTTTTACTGGAATGCCTCTTGCCTGCCTGTTCATCCTGACAACCCATGTTCCATGACCCTAGTCTACTCTGATAAAGACTTCTGTACTTACTGTTTTCGGAAGTGGCTATCCAGGTATCTTCTGAAATCCTCTGGTGTAAAGTGACTCTTGGTCCTGTGCTGTATCGCTCCAGACCTGCTGCTGTGCAGACTGCCAAGAGCAGCTGAACTTGGCCCTGCTGGTGGCCCTTTATTGGAGAACTCGCTTCCTGTGACTCATAGGATATGTCCATAACCAGCAAAGAAGAATTCCGTAACTGCATCCCGAACTTTCCCGGGACTATTTATACTGCTAAATATGACAATGATATCATAATCTTTGCTGCCCCCCAAAAGTCTTTTTGGTCCATTTCTTTTTTAAAACATAAATTCTATTAGTAAGACACAAGTTAGGAGTTTCCATTCTCATAGCACAAAAATCCAGGTTTAAAACGTTTTAAAATGTTGATTTTTAGCAATGTCTCTCAAGTAATTGTGGCAGTAATAAGAATTTTTAAAACACAAGAAAACTAAGTTATTTTACTATCCAAGTAATCCTAGGACTAACTTCAATTTTTTTTAAAAATCAGTAGCTGTCAATAACATGCCAACACTCATTGTTTTCTTTCTTAAATGCCAGGTCAACTCATTTGGCAGCCAGTCTGCATCACAGAGGTAACCCATCTTGGACAAGGTAGGCACAAGTCCTTAGTTACTGTGTATCTGCTATGGCTAAATTACTGAAAATGGCATCTTCCAATCAGATGCCTGACATAATGCCTCACATCCTTTTTTTTTTTAAAGGGAGAAACAGACATATTCATGTCTAGAAAACTGTCATGATTTGTCCAGTGGACAAAAGAAAGGTTAAAACTGTATATTCCTATTTAATCGACACATATTTTATTTTAAAAGTTTAAAGTATGGATGGCCAAAAACAAAAACTGAAAGAAAATGCACCACAGCATTAACGATGGCTATTTATTGACAGCAGGATTTTAGATTTGTGTTATACCTGCATTATCCTTTTTGAAATTTTTTAAGTTTTATTTGTATATAATTCACATATCATACAATTCAATAGTTCAATCATATTAAAAAGAGTTATACAATCACCACTACAGGCAATTTTATAACATTTGCTTCTTCCTTGTACTCACTGTTATTAGCGCTCCATTTCCTCCCAAACTCCCCTGCCCGTCCCCCGAAGAAACCATTAATCCAGTTATTGTCTACAGGTTTACCTATCCTGGATGTCATACACTGAAGAACATTCAAAAAATCAATAACAAAGTAAAACAGAGAAAAACCTCGATCAAAAAGAAAGCAGGAACTATTAAAAACTACAACAAATTTAAAATGGGTTAAAAGGGCGATCGAATGATAATGTGTTATCATTTTAACCTAGCTGCATCGGCAATGATCTGTTTTTCAATGCAGTCTGCATAACAGTAAGGCTGTTCACAGCCCTGTTCTTTGCAGAGAGGTAATTTACCAGAGGCTTAATCCACGGGATCTCCTCCACTTTTATTTTTAAATGGAAACAACTTTAAATGGGTCAAAAGGGAGGTCAAATAATAAGATATTACATCTTAATCTAACTCCATCTACCATGATCGGCTTTTCTAACCATTTCACTGGCCCTCTTTGATTTCATAACATC